AAAAAAAAAAAAAAAAAAAAAAAAAAAAAAAAAAAAAAAAAAAACAATTATTTATATGTTAAAAATTAGAATCAGAGGGTGAGGAGTTATCAGCTAAAGAAACTTTGCTGAGGCGGCTAGGCAGCAGCCGGACGCCATGGACGTGGTTTCTTCTTCTTCCTGTCCACCGCTTTTGAGCTCCATAAACTGCTCTATGAGCCAAAGCCTTCCCCACATTGGAGCTCGCGGCGGCTTTCGAGCTCGGGTTCTTCTCTGGCTTTGTTGGTTGATTTCCGGTGACGCCGGTGGCGGGCGTGGTGATGGCGGGATCAAAACCTCTGGAATCGGGTCGCTCGGAACTCATTAGTTTGAAATGAAGGAGATGAAGAACTGGTAGTTTCTCCAATTTTTGTGGAATATATTTTGTTTTTGTTCTCTTCTTACAAGTTAAGGAACATGAGATTCCATAACATAAATCCAAACCCAAATTTAATTCCATTTGTTTAAATTGGTTTGGAATATAATTTGATTGGTCCGGTGGAGTTAAGAATGTTGGAATTTTTTTTAGTGGGTCGTGTCCAATGAAAAAATTATTAAATTATATGTTTGGTCTTTAAAATTTTAAAATTACGTAGATTAATCGAGATCGTGTAGTCTATATAGTCTCAACCTTTCATATTTCCTTCTAATACATCTTTACGCTAATGCTTGAATAATATATTAATTTTGTATTTTTTTTTATATAAATTATATATATATATATATGTCTATTTAAGATTTTCCTTCGTTTACCAAACATATTTCCATGCAAATAGACTATGTTATAATAAGTTTTTTTTGAAGTTATATATATATTTTGGTTAGGAAATATTATTGGATTTATTAATATGTTTTATATTTTTAATTATATTAAAAAAATGGAAATAATTCATTACTTTTTTTAAATAAATGTTTTTGTAATAAAAAATTAAGAAATTTTTTCAATTCTCTATCGAAAATTCTTGTCCCGACTCGTGCAAAAATAAATGGATAAGTATCTATCTCATAGACGTTAAAAATATGAACTTTTAGACACAAAAATGAAAGTTTATTATTGTATTAGACCCAACGTGTAACGTTGAAGTATTAAAAAAGGTCAACAAAGTTTGGAGAAGCTTTGAATTAAAAAAAAAATGATCACCAAAGGTTAAACTTTTGATAGAAGCTTACAAGAAGGGGTTAGAGAATCTTGTAGGTTTTAAGCAACCTTTGGTGGAAGTAATTCTGTTATTCAAATTCTCTGCGTGTTCTTCTCCACTTTCTTCTCTCTCTTTATTACCAATGTTTAAAACACAACCGCCATTGACGACCACCAATGAAGCTTTGATCCATCCATATGGGAAGGACAAAAGCTATGGCGGTAACACATGAGGATCTTCACCCAAGTCGAAGGAGCTCTGAATTAGGCAGCAAAATGGGGACTTTTCTCATCATTTTGACCGTCCTTTGTGGCCTTTGTTGCTTCATTCTTTGCCTCGTTGCCGAGTCTACTCGTTCTCAGGTACGTATCTCACCGACCCTTTTCACGATTTTTGTGTTCGGTATGATATTGTCAATAGAAATGTCTATTTAGCCTCCGGGGCTGGAGAATAGGATAAAAGAGTAAGAAGTGATTTCTCCTTGTTAGCTAAATGGAGATGGAGATAGAGAATATATTCCTTGTCTATAACAGCCCAAGTCCACCGCTAGCATATATTGTTCTCTTTGAGTTTTCTCTTTCGGGCTTCCCCTCTTTTGGTTTTTTCCTTTCCGGCTTTCTCTCAAGGTGTACCACTAGCTAATTGATATCCCACATTGGTTAGGGAGGAGAATGGAACACCCTTTATCTGGGTGTGAGAAACTGTTCCTAGCGTCTTGAGGGGAAACCCGAGAAAGAAAGCCCAAAAAGGACAATATCTGCTACCGGTGAACTTGGACTATTACATTGTCTTTGTCCTTGCACCGAGCCCACCTCACCCCAGATAACTCTTCGGAGAATCTCGCAAAAATAGAGCCAATTTTGCGGGAATAAGAATGAAATAGGAGACAGAAACCGGAAATAGAGAGAATTTTGCTGAATAAAAATGAAATAGGAGAGAGAAACCAAACATGTTTTTTTAACAACGTACGAGGTAGGTTTAGATATGGGTTTGCATGTTTTTTCTGACCTTTTTCATAGGTAATATGGAAGGGTAGAGACGAGAATAATAACAAAAAGGGAGAGAAGAGATGCTGGTACAGCGGCAGTGGGAAGACGCCGCTGGTGTGCACGGCGAGCGCGTTTCTAGGCATGGCGGTGATGATGGTGGTGCAACATTTGTACGTGTTGATTGCAGTGAGTAAGTCGCCGCCGCCTGCTCTCATTGCTTGGGACCCTTCTTTTGCCACTTCCAAATCTCTAACCTTTCAAGCTGCTTTCTTCTTCGTTTCAACATGGTAATCATCAACACCTCCATTATCTCTCTCCTTTATTCAAACCCAAGTTAAGCATATTCCTTCACCCCAACTTAATACTTTTCATATTCGACCACGAGCCACGACCCAAGCCCACCGATAACAAATATTGTCCTCTTTAGACTTTTTCCTTTCAGGGTTCCCCTCAAAGTTTTTAAAACGCGCCTCCAGTGAGAGGTTTCCACACCCTTATAAAAGAATGTTTCGTTCTCCTCTCCAATCGATGCGGGATCTCACGAAAGTCCAAAAAGAACAATATTTGCTACTGGTGAGCTTGATATTACAAATGGTATGAGGCAGACACGGGGCAATGTGCCGGTGGACACGAGGCATTGTGCCATAAAGGACACTGTGCCCCAAAGGGATTGGATTGGAGGGGTCCCAGATCGATTGAAGAAGGGAACGAGTGTCGGTGAAGACGCTGGGTCCCGAGAGGGAGTGAATTGTGATATTCTTTACAAGGGTGTGGAAACCTATTCCTTCTGCATAGGTTTTTAAAACTTTGAGGGAAAGCTAAGAGTGGACTGGTCGAGTCCACAAGACAATATCTGCTAACAGTGGACTTGGGCTAATGGCCCTCTCATTTCCATATCCGGTGGTTTGTTTTGGGTTGGCAGGATAAGTTTCTCAGTGGGAGAGATTTTACTATTGATAGGACTGAGCGTAGAATCAGGTCATCTCAAGGACTGGTGGAGTCCAAAAGAGAGTTGCTTGGTGATCAAAGAAGGTTTGTTCTCAGCAGCTGGGGTTTTTGAGCTGGCGACGGTGTTCCTCGCCGCCGGTCTATACATGACGGCGGTGCGAGCACAGAGATTGTTTGAAGATCAAGTAAACGTGAGAAGAGAGGTGCTGGAAAGTTACCATATCCACAGTTCGCCGCCCCGGTCGCCACCGGTGCAGCCGATGCCGCCAATTGCGAGAGAGGACCCTGTGATCAGACATAGCCATCATCCAGAGTCTCCCTTTTTGTTCTTGCTCCCATCTTCAGCTGCTTTCTGCAAACAGCTCTCTCGTTGATTATTATTATTATTATTATTTTAAAGGAGATGGTTTTTATGAATTTGTATAAAATAGGTTAAATACTATTTTGATTCGGTTTAGTTGTTAACTTTTGTTTATATATATTAATAAGCAATAATTTAACATCAAATTTCAATAAATTTATGGTCGTGTTAGATTAAAATTGTGATATGAGATAACGTGTGAGATCCCGATTGCGGAGGAGAACGAACCACCCTTTTTATGAGAGTGTGGAAACCTTTCCTAGCAGATACATTTAAAAAACCTTGAGAACAATCCCGAAAGAAAAAACCCAAAGAGAACAATATCTGTTAGTGGTGAGTCTGGGCCGTTACAAATGGTATCAGAGCCAGACATCAGGTAATGTGTCAGCGAGTAAGCTGTTCCCTGAAGAGGGTAGACATGAGGCGGCGTGCCAGTAAGGACACTGTTCCTTGAAGAGGGTAGACACAAGGCAGCGTGCCAGTAAGGACGCTAGGC